GTCTAATTTCGTTTTAAAAAATGCTTTTCTAAAGTGCATAAACTTTTGGGATTGACTGTATAGCCAATACATCCTTAAAATCGCTTTGAGGACGAGACGCGTTCTGCGGTCTTCCGTTGTTACAACTACACACGGTATTCTTTTGTTCTCCAGTTTGAGAATTCAACATTACGATTGTAGATATTACGAAATCGTGCGGGACGTCAGGCCGAACAAGGGCACGATACTCAAGTCCTCGGTCGAATACATAAAACTGTTGAAGAACGAGCTGACGAGGATGAAACAGAGCGAGCACAGGCACAAGCAACTGGAGCACCAGAACCGGCGGCTCCTTTTGCGAGTGCAGGAATTGGAGTTGCAAGCGAAAGCGCACGGGCTCCCGGTGTCGGACTTCAACTGGCCGTCGACTTCCGGTAGCATGCTCAACGGCTTCCCCCGAAACAAAGTCGAACAGCGCAAGGTACATACGAAATGATCGTCGAAGATGATTAGTATAAATAATTATTTACGAATCGAATGTATGCACACGATCGATGGAAATGTACAATCGTCGAAATCGCGTATGATCGACGAAACGTTCGATGGAAGGATTTTATTTGCACGAAGCAACGAGCCTGGTACGTCGAAAGCGACACCGGCTGCTTTGAATTTCGTCAAGGTTACGCCGATCGACGCCGATATGCACCGACGATCGTTTCACGATCCTTGATCCGAATAAACGTTCGTTTCGTTCTCGGGACTGGTTTCATAATCCGCATCTGTTCTTACCAGTTACCAGACTACAAGCTTCGAAATCGCTTCGTTTACTCGCGTTCTATGTACGTCGCACGCACACCGAGACGCAACGAACGCTTAACAACACGTATGCGGTCATCGCAGTCTCTTTTACTCCCACTTCGTTCCTCAGTTCGAAATCCCCACCCGACGACGACGACGACGACGACGACGTATCATTCATTCTTTTTCTTATCCGCTATAAAATACGCGTGCACGTTTATTTTATAAAACTACAGTTAGATAATACTGATTGCATCCTATCCTCGATTCTAATAGTCATTGCTTCCTGCATACGCTTAGGTCAGTTCCGTGAATGAGTGTAATTACCAAGCATTTTCGATTAAATCGCGGCTCGCGTTACCCATACGCCTATCTACACTACGTATTTACACCTATTTGTGCATCTGCGACATTTAGGTCAACGATGAGATAAGAAACGCATGAATTACGATCACATTCTCTCGAGAAGTGTCTTATATTTTATAAATCGAGTCCGTGTTGATAGATTCCAGATTTGGTGGCAGACGAAGGACCGAGCTTGAGCATGTCGCAGCTCGAAGATCTGATGGAGGACGACGGTAACGGACCGATTCACAGACGCGACCCGATGCTCTCGTCGCCTCATCTTCCACCGTTGAGTCCGGCGCCGACGGGCTGCCAGCACGGCCTACCGGACGAGGACACCCTCGGCAGTCTAGCACCCACGACGCCGAACTCCTCGTCTGACATGGACATCGTCGCGTAGCACTCGAAACCCTCGCACGAAACAATTTTTTATAAAGTGTCAGGATCGATGCTACGCGTTCTTCGTATTCGACGGCTGGCCGTTCTAATTTTAAGTAAAACAATCTATCGAGTTTTAGTAGATTTCCTTTTGGAGAACGAAGTATGCAAAGAAGATTGTGTTTGAATGGATACTCTTACCACAGAACTGTCGGTTGTGTACATGGATAGACGCGTACCCAACGTCGAAGCTCGCGCAGGACGCGAGACAAGAGCAAGCAAGCAGTTGAATGATTATTATTGACAACGAGCACGTACGCGTGAGTACGTACGAAGCGAGCGGGCTACGGATTTGATGCATTTTCGATGCGGAGAGAATGTAAGGAATGCGTGCGACGTGGAATAAATCTAAATTTACGTTTCATACATTTAATCGAGACGATGGAAACGTAAAGATCCGCGGTCTCTCGAATCTTTCTCGGGAGAAAGATAACGAACAAGTTACGTACAACGACGGTCCAATTTATATTCTCGACTTTCGACGAGAAGCGGAAATACATAGGCGTATACGTAATATAGCAGAGCTTGCGACAAATATATCTATATATTTTTGAAGTATTTTGCATATTTTGGAAACGGCGAACAATTACCGACGATCGCGTTATTCATATGGTCGCCGTGGCAAGACACGCGTATGTTTCGTTCGATGGTCGCAAGTAATACCGCCGTTCCCGTTTCTCTGTGATCCTCTTAATGTATGCAACAATCGCGTTTTACCTCGTTACTGCGTATTAATCGCAATTGTTATCCGCGGAAGCCGGCAGGATCTCTGCGATACGGCGACTGCGAGAGACTACAAAGTATATAAAGAGACGTTACGTAAAGAATGTGCCTCGACTTCTTTATTCCCCGACACAATTTTTATTTCCGCTCGCGGTTTCAGAGATATGTCAAACGGGATTATTCTAAAAAGACAACACAGTGAAAACGTCCCGAAGATCGAGACGGTGTCGTCGATATGGAGCTACAGTTCACCGACTCTGACTTCTTTGGTACCACGCGACAGTGCGTCGCGATGGTGTGAACCGCGTAAGTAGGTCAACGAGCAATTTGTATCGGAAGCACAATTTTCGATGTTGTGACCATCTCTCACAGATTCATATTTTTCCAATCTTAATCCATATTTGTCCAGATAAGATCGATATCGGCTTCGTTGAATAAATCGCGAGCGGAAAGTTTGAAATGATTTCCCCCAGATTTTCCTCTCCTTTTGTTTTACACGTAGATCACTCGACCAGGCTTTGATATTGAAGATAAGAAAAACGTGCCAGGTTCTTGCTTGTCCTTTTACGATCAGATAATGTAAAAAGAAATTGCATACCTATTGAGAAAGACGCACGGTGCTTTTATCGAGTGTCCTCGACAGTGAAGTATGTACATGTATGCCTACGTGTATACTGTACACGCGTTCGAGTCCAATTATCTGGTTCGCAGCGAGAGAACATCGATCGTTTACCTATCTGCGATCAACAAATTGATTCGAAAATTCGTGATGAAATTTGATGCAAGATCTCAGCTTCCCAACTGAATCTACGTGCACTGTGATAACAGAGATAAAGATTCCGCTAATCGCGCATACAGGAAAATGTTCTAAAAACGTATCGTTTTATTTGAACATCCGTTTTCAACGAGCTTCGGCAAATTTATTCACGTAACGATATATACGTACGACACGTGCGGTATCCATTTGCACGCTTCAGTCTCCAAATGTGCACCTGTGACGACCGTGCAGTGTTTTATCATCGATCTTTGATAAGCCGATATAAATAAGAATTACCGTATGCGCCCGATATATGTATCCGATTAAAAAAGCATAGTTCGCGTAGCAATTTATGAAGTCAGAATTAGAAATCGGATTGTTACGTGTACATAAAAGATCGATCGGATACTCTGTCACTGACGTAGCACGATTTTCAAAACGATAAAAAACAACAAATCGAAGGACGAGGATCAAAGACGAATTGAAGCGGGATTTGACGAAAACAATGATTATCACTATCAGTCCGTGATCATGATTATATCATTAAAATTAATCCGCGAGAATTTCCAAGTTTTTCGTCGCGTACCCGAACACGTGTACAGAACGTGAAAATCGGAGCCGAGGAAACAGTCGACGGTATCTCGCGCCAATCCGCGTCCGAGGTCTTTGTCTCACCTTTCGAGGCTCGAGACAATTTGAAAAACGTGATTGGCCGTATCCTAGCTGCGTTCCTACGCGAGACACGAGACGAGTCTCACGTGAACGTCGATCCGATCGTGCGTAGATCCGAGAATGAGCATGAATCAAAGGCATGACAGCGATGAAATCGGAGTACCAGCGGAGCAGCGAAACTCGGTCTTATGAAAAATGAGATACCTTCATCCCTCGGATTGCGTTGTTTCTACATGCAATCTGGTTCGCGGAAATCATTGCGTGAAGTAAGCACGACGATGAGGAAAGACGTCAAGCGGAAAATGGGGGTGAGAGACTGGGTGGATCGGCGGGTCAGCGGGAGCCGCGAAACGTTCGGATTAATCTCGCGGACATAAGACATAATGCCACCGAGCTGCTCAATTACGCTCGGATTAGCAGTGCACGAGGGGTTCCCCCTCTCCCCCGACCGCGTCTCTCCTCGAGAATCTGTACTCTCAGTGTCCCTTGCACGCTCTCCACCTCGTGCACGGTCTACCAGGGCCTTTGAAACGCTATATAAAGTGAGAAACTTCCTCGGTGGCTCTGTACTGTGGCGTTAACGCGGCACCAGGCCGGATAAAATTCGTCGACGAAAAAAAAAACGGTACGGTTCGTTCGCACGATCATAACGTTGACTAATTACTCGGTTCGTCGACCGATCCTCGATTTTGCCGTCGACGGACGATTAGACCGACACGTGCCGTACATCGTGGATACGTACTTCACGCTTGCCGGAAGAAAACTCTCGCGTATGGCATGATCGATTTACGCGTGGACCCGAGTTAATTTTTACGAGTGCCACGTGTGTGATGTGACACCGAACACGGCTACGAATAAATTCTGAACGATATATACGCTTCGTGCGTACGTACGTAGGGTGGCGAATGCCAGGATGTGCGTTTTCGTTCCACCGATAACTGACCCGAATATCAGCTTCCCTAGCGCGAGTTCTGTCCGCTCAGTTCGTATCTGCATATTGGTTCCGTTCACAAAAGATGTAAGGTTCCGCGAATGGAAAGAACGAGCTATTATCCAATTACGTCGGGCGAAACTACGAATTAGATGACCAGCAATCAGCTTACAATAGTATAGGCCCGTACGCGCCGTGATAATCTCGATACACAAATGGAATCTGGCGTCTGTTACAGATCCACGAGTTCGACCATGAAACGGTTCACGGTACTCGCTTGCTTGTTGTCGATCATTCTCGGACTCGATGCTCTCCCCAAAGGCTCGACTATTTACGAAGGTTCGTAATCTTAATAATTCCGTGATGCAACGAGTTTCACGGTGAATTGATCACCAGTCAAGTTCAATCAAGCTCCTCCTCCGGTGGTCGTATAACGTCCGCTCAGCGCCCGTCTCTCTTGACCGATTCACATTTTTTCTTAATGCACGCGAGACGGAAATAGAAACTGTCAACTTTTCAATTTCCTCAATACTTTTGTAGATATGTCGTTCTGGCTAAAGTCCGGCCAGGAGAACCTCCGGAGGAACCTGGCTTATCGGAACAATGAAAATCGTGCGAAGAATATTATCATTTTCATCGGCGACGGAATGGGAATATCGACGGTCACGGCCGGTCGCATATACAAAGGCCAAATCAAAGGCAACGCCGGGGAAGAATACAAATTGGCTTTCGAAAAGTTTCCTAACGCCGCACTCGCCAAAGTAACAAACGAATCTCCGATCTTAATACATAACATACATAAAACAAATTTTCCGTAGACTTACAATACGGACAAGCAAGTACCCGATTCGGCTGGCACGGCCACTGCTATATTTTCCGGCGTCAAGTGCCGCTACAAGGTTCTGGGATTGGATACGAGAGCTTCGTTCAATCACTGCGACAAAAACATTAATCATTTGAGCAAAGTGTCGACGATCGCGGATTGGGCGCAACAAAGCGGGATGGACACCGGTGAGTCGATTCGGCAGTCTTAGGACTGGTGCCACCTGCTCGTAAATCGTATGTAGTGTCCGTACGATGAATCATAAAGGGTTTCAATAAGATCGCATACCGGAGCATTGAAACCATTCTTTGATCGTTACAAGTTTTCGCCTCGCGATATCTGCCAAGTTATCCGAACGTAACGATCGCACGTAAAGACTATATGGACACGTGTACAAGGACCAAAAGTCAATTTTACGCACGTATCAATTACAGATAAGGTAGTCGGTTCTGATTTTCGTATAGATTGATCAATGGTACGTGAACGTGACTCGTCGACTGCAATGATCGACTCACGGTCGGCTACCGGTGTTAAAGAATCAGTATCGAATAGACCTTGTCGAAACGAGCGCGAAAACGAGGACAAGGAGGTCATGAGGCGACCTTCTGTTTTATCTAGGACGTACCATTTAATCTCTTCCATTCTCATTTTCTATTTTCGCGATAAGTGATTCGAGTCGTACCAGTTTATATTATAGGAAATGTAGTGTCCATTAGAGCACGATACGCCGATCAACGGTTACTATTTCATTTATCGTTACACATTTATCTGTCGGCCATATATGAAAAAAAGAATTATTCGAAACAGGATTCGTAACGACGACTCGAGTAACGCACGCCACACCGGGCGGACTGTACGCTCATACGAACAATCGTGATTGGGAATGCGACACCGCGATACCGGGACAGTACAAAGACTGCGTGAAAGACATAGCGAGGCAATTAATCGAGGATGCGCCAGGGAATAAGTTTAAAGTAATGATGGGTGGCGGAGCTCAGCATTTGGGTCTGCCCATGGAAGAGCCGATAGACGACGACACGTGCGTTAGAGGAGACGGCCAAGATTTAACCAAAGTCTGGGCTAAGAATAATCCCGATGGCCGAATAGTTACCGATGTTGACCAACTGTTCTCCATCGATATTGCTAATACCTCGAAAATTTTCGGAGTTTTCGCGCAGAGCCACATGCCTTATCACACCGTAAAACCGGAGAACGTACCGAGTTTGGCTAACATGACCACGCAAGCACTCAGATTGCTCAAGAAGAACGACAAAGGTTTCTTGTTAATGGTAAGATTCGATGGTTTTTTTATATGCGGTCTAGCGAATGAGAAAAGTGATTTACAGGTGGAAAGCGGAAGGATCGACATGGCTCATCATCACAACTGGGCACAGTTAGCGTTACGAGAGTTGTCCGAACTCGAGGAAGCGATACTGGTCGCCTTGGAACAAGTGAACTTGGACGAAACGCTAATCATCGTGACTGCCGATCACTCGCATTCGTTTACCATGAACGGTTACCCGACCCGAGGAAACGATATTCTTGGTTTCGCGAATAAACCTTCGGATCCACCGTACGAAACGCTGACTTACGCGAACGGTCCAGGTTTCTATCATCACAGGAGGAACGACAGTACTAATGTCAATGAAACGTGGATACCCGTCGACAAAGATCCGACACGCAACGACCCGTATTATGTTCATCTGGCTAGTCTCTATTTGGAAGACGAGACGCACGGAGGCGAGGACGTCGGAGTCTATTCGATAGGTAAATTGTTTAGATCGCATAAAATCTGCAGTCTACTGACGAAACTAATTTTTGTTTCAGGCCCGTACTCTCACCTGATTCGCGGTACCTTCGAACAGAATTACATCGCGCACGTCGTAGCGTACGCTGCGTGCTTTAAAAACTGGCCCTCACACTGCGACAGTGCATACGGTCGTTACTATTACGAATTGTCTAACTCGGTAAACCAGCCGACTGGTTCGTACCTTCTATCTATTTTCGTACTCTTCGCCTGTTTCATCCTCTCTAAGTATAATTGATTCTTGTGTCGTTAGCCGTTTCACTCATTCGTTAGACCGCAGATTTCTGTGCGAAATGAAACTGTAAATATTGAAACAGTCGATTTTCTTGTAAATGCATAGAATCTGCAGTGTCGTCCTCCATTAAACGTCAGGTACCTCGTTATTATTATTGCCATTCGTCGTACCCCGTTAAAAGACAGGCGTACCCTACGCCTGGCAGATTGAACAAATCCTCGTCGGTTTGTAAAGAATATTCACAGTATTGTAAATAGTCTTCACTTATCACTTGAACCCACGTTATCTTCGAACTATTCCGTAATTATATATATATGTATGTATAAACTATAGCGTGTATAGAACAAAGACTATGATTAATGCAGTTTCATCTGTGATACGTCGACTAGTTCGTAATAACCGAAACTCGTGATCGAAACAAAGTGTTCTCCTCGCAAATGAACACTGCACAGGTACAAAAATAAATATTCGCTCTCGTTCGAGCGAGTAGAAGCTTTATTCAAAATGAAAACTGCTCGATGCATCTGTACACTGTAAACGTACCTCTACTATTTGTGTATAACAACCTACATAATGCAAAAATAAAAAGAACATCACAATGATTATTGTTCATTGACCGGCGACGACGAGATCGTTTTGCCTTTGACAATAGCGATATGGAAATTTTTGTAAATCAGCGGATTGGTATCGTCGCTGACAAAGTTCCGATCTGGCTTGATCGACGCGTACGGATTTAATCTCGGTTGCAGAATTACATCGATTTCCGCGACGGAACCGATCCTCGCCATTTCCCAAACCATTTCGTCCGCGGTGTAAGACGTGATCGCGACAGGCTTCAATTTTCCACAAAACTCTCTGATCGTTTCGAACCAGGTGTCTCGACCTCCGAACCCAGTTTTCCTATAGAGCCCAGGATTAAACGCGCAAATTAAATCGGGCTCGGCAATGCTCGTAGAGTCGTGAATCACGTCGTGATAAAGTTTTTCGGGTTTAAACGAGACGACGATAGCTCTGTTATCGGATTTACATCTCTGGCACAGGTTTACCGTGGACAAAAGTTTCGGAGGAACGTCTCTAGGCAGATGCAATTCCGGGCCTATGAAAATTAAACGAAGAGTCTTCAAGTTTGCTGATAAATGAAGGAACAGTTTCTCCCAAACGTATAAATTAATTCCCTCGAATTGGAATTCCGCTCCAATTACGTGTATAGTATACTCGATTTTAGTTTGCCAATCGTCGCAAGAGATTTGCATGGTGTAAAGAGCTGTCAAGGGAATGGTTGACAAATGAGATAACAGGCAATACGTGTAACAATCCATTTGACGATAATACGAAGAATCTCCATAAATCTCGCACATCAGTTCGTCGAAGTACGACGTTCCTACGGACATCGATCGATGCACGTTTGGAATCCACGGCTCGACTCGGCCGTGTTTGCGTTGGAGAAATAGAAACCTTTGAAAAATTTGGAACTGCTCGCACCAGTTCTCGTGTTCCTCGCCATGATTCTCGCAAAATGATTCCATTCCACAGCGTGGACAGCAGACTAGCTTCTCGACGAAGCGACGACAGATTCGACAGACCCTGGGATACAACACTATCTCTCTTTCCCAGAGTTCCAACGACCTACCGATTCTCGATTCAAAAATAGCGAGCAAACGCAATCTAAAGACACGGTATTGTTCCGGGTCGAGTTTAGAAGAAATCGTCGAGACGATGGAAGAATGAATTTCTGCTAAAGCTTCGCACAGCCCTCGATGCTCCCTTAGTCCTTGCGCCTGATGTCTCTTCGAGCAATAAGACACCATTTCACATTTTTCGCAACAGAGTTTAGATTTTTCTGAGCACAACGCACAGAGGCTCGACACGAACACGAATCTCGGTTTGATATTTAATTGAATCTCTCCCTCTTCGTCTTCGCTCCGTGACAACGTTGAGATCAACGGGTAAGACAATCGAGATCGCACTTCGATCGGAACTTCACGTTTTTTCTCGTCGATCACGTCTTCTTTATTTCGTCTCTCCTCTATTTCGACGTTTCTTGCCGAGTTTTCTCTCCTCGACGGTCTTCCTTTGCCACGATTCTTACGACCCATGTCACTTGAGAAGATATTCAAATCGCACTCTCCCTTTTTCGTTTGAAATTAATTATTCTGACTCTGAACTTTGAATATCCCGAATATATTCAGGATTCGATAAAGGGAACTCACCTCGCGGAACAGTTACACCGTACAGATACGAACACTGACTAATAAGAAGTGCGGGTATAAAATAAATCTGAATGGAGCCTGTTTGACGTGCGAGACAAATTAGATAGCACGGCCATGAGGAAGTCCGTTAGCTTACAAAGGCTTACAATAATAGGAACTTGCGCATTGCTCGAGGGATAGAATTTACTTCTACGGGCACTATGCCCACTGCCTGCCCAGTACCGTGGCGAAGATAGAATTATTTCGAGCATCGTCCCCGCGTGCGGACCCCTATACCCAGGGTGAACCTCGGTTCTAAATCGACCTCGCTTCCCGAGAGTTTGTTACCGTGTACCTGTTCTCTGTCCTCTACAGTTTTTTTTCCCAGTAATTTACATTAGTTTTTACGGTGAGCAAACTTATTTTTCATTTCCCCTTTTTACGAAAACCAGCCAAACACCGACATGTTTTGTAGACTTAGAAAATAATTCTTAAACCTCGTCTTAAGCTTTCAAATAATTAAATTTACGAATCCTAATCTGTACAAATAAAATTTTGTCAAGGTATATCGTTCGCGTCTGTTCGTTTTGCATAATTGTCGCGCGTTGAGCGACGCCTCCACGTGGTTGACCCACGAGTTGCGCAATGACGTACAGAATACAGAACTCTGTTTCGAATTCGAGTTAGGTTAAATTCTGCGGCTTCGAGAGGTTATGTTTTACACGTCGGAACCGTCGAAGCTCGTAATCACCTTGCCAAGTCTGTATTTTTTCGTAACGCTGCCAAAGGTCTATTTATAAGAACGCTGAAGAATGTCAGATATCCAGTATGTATCATGTAGTAAGAGTATTCAGTTTTGCAACGGCAAATAAATTCTGATTTCCGCTTATGGCATTTTAACTTGCATCCTTATCTCAACACGTTCTCTGTAGAACATTGTAACATTATTTCTCCCTATTCTGTTTTAACATAATGTACTAATCAATGTCATCACCGTTCATTTGCATTTTACATAAGACTGCATCCTACGTCCTACATCCAGATACTGACTCATTGTACTCTTATGCATCATATGTACTCTGCATAATAAATATATGTAAAAACACTGCCGAAAGAAATACCCATTAATTATTTTTATCCCTTTTGTTCGTTACATCTATCCCGCATTCTTTTCTTCGAAGAGATAATCGGAACGCAAAGTCGTGGTCAAGAGTGATCACGATGAATTAAAAAATTCGATGGGAGTAGGAGCCAATGATTTTTTTATTACAGTTCTCGATAGCACAGTAACTCAAGCGACTCGACAAGAATGTACAATGATAATGTAAGAGCGAGCGTACGGCATAGGAAGTCAGAGACGAAATTCAACGAGAGCCAGATGCTCGAATCATGCAGTGATGAGGGGATACGATCGAGTATCAGAGATGTAATTGCAGTGATGAAGTCCGAAGAGGACACGGAAAGCGAGGACGAAAAGGATTACAAGCGGCAACTCATACCGACGAACAGTCAAATCAGCGAGGATGTGATAGTTCGTCGGTTCGAAGACGAGAACGTTTGGTCTATATCCGTACAAATGTTCGTGCCCTTTTTGTTAGCCGGTTTCGGCATGGTGGCCGCCAGCCTGTTGCTGGACGTTGTACAGGTACGTGGGGCAGGTACCGAAAATTTACCTAATGAAACGTACAGACGCGCACGTGGGATGATCTATTCTCTAGCACTGGCCAGTGTATCAGACGGTCTCCGAGGTCTATATACTGGTTCCTGCGTTGCTCGGTTTAAAAGGGAACTTGGAAATGACGTTAGCCTCCAGATTCTCGACTCATGCGAATCTCGGACACATGGACACGAAGAAACAACGATGGACCTTGGTCGTTGGAAATCTCGCACTGATACAGTGTCAAGCGACGGTGGTAGGCTTGCTTGCTTCCCTGGCCGCCGTCGTACTCGGTTGGATACCGGAAGCTCAGTTCGATATGAATCACGCGCTCTTATTATGCGCCAGTGCCTTGTCCACCGCGTCCGTGGCAAGCTTTCTCCTGAGCTTGGTAATGATCGCGGTGATAGTATTGTCCAAAGAGATCAACATCGATCCAGATAACATAGCCACGCCGATCGCGGCTTCCCTGGGCGATTTAACTACCTTGATGCTTCTTTCAGGAATCGCGTCCCTTCTCTTTAGAGCCACAGGTAATTTGTACCGATACGCGATCGTTAGACTGCGGACTTGTTATCGAGAACAATATTTTTAGAGCATGGATATAGATAATAAAATTCTACTTTTCCCACGAACAATCCGCAGTCTAGCAATTAACGAACGATCCATGACCCTGTCGCACTTTCAGAATACGCCCCTTGGATAGCACCGACGTTGATAGTGTTCCACGTAACAATTACCCCGATCTGGGCCTATATCGCGGCCAGAAATCCGTTTACCAGGGAGATTTTAGACTACGGCTGGGCGCCTGTGATATGCGCGATGCTAATTAGCAGGTCTTCGTTTTTCTAAACGCAATTTCAATTGGACGCGACACTGCGATTCCAACGGTCTTCATTGATTTCAGCGTGGGCGGTTTGATACTGGATTACACGATATCCAATTACAAGGGCATAGCAGTATTTCAGCTAGTTATAAATGGCGTTGGTGGGAATCTAGCGGCGGTGCAAGCCAGCAGGATATCGACGTCTTTGCACAGAGATCACCGATCGAACAACGAGGGATCACTCCCCGTCGTTCGTTTCGATCCGTCCTACACCTTTTGTACGAAAGGTACGTCTATTCGAATCGCGCCAGTAGATGAATTATAAACGAACGAGTCGTTGTAGGCGGACACGCGAGAACGGCTAGAGTCTTGCTGATGATGGTTATTCCCGGCCATTTAATATTTGGCTACACGATTAGCTACCTCCAGGCGGGACACACATCCCTGACGCCTATATTTCTTAGTTTCTATTTACTCGCCGCCTTGCTACAGGTACGAACAATCGAAATAACAATCGGAATTCGTATTACGATCTTTCGATCATCATCAGGTGACGTTACTATTGTATATCACTCAACTGATGGTCATCTGGATGTGGAGACGAGGAATGGACCCGGATAATTCTGCGATCCCATACCTAACAGCCGCGGGTGATCTGATTGGAACGGTGCTGCTGGGAATCGCGTTTCATATACTGTACGCGATTGGAGACAAAGATTCCGATGTCGGAGACTGATCGCGAAAAAGACTGAGTTCAACGAAGTTCGTGTACTTAGTTCCTTACTTCCTCGTAGTATAGTGTTACTCATTTACGTTATTTATATGGAAGCATGCGAGATCGTATGCCGGGCATGTAAATACGTACAGGATGGGACCAAATCGGTTCTGATCGCTCAATTTTTAACTACAAACTGCGCTTGTAAATATGAACGCGTGCAAGTGCTAAGTACTTATTTTGTACCAAATAATGCAAGCATTTAATAAACTTGATTGACGACAGGACGCGTACGATTTACTGTCCCTCGTTATTGCATCACGGGTCAAGTACGCATGATTCGAAATTCATACTTATAAAAAGACGTTTCATATAGATAGAAGTAAAACGTGAAATCTTACCTCCTCTTATTATTAGCGTACGTACGTACAGAGGAAAGAAGAACGAACGGAGTGCAGCCATAGATAGGTCAGATCGTAACATGGCCCGAGTTAAGCTCGACTCGGCTGGCTGTAGTGGTGCGTCTTTCTTTTATACGAATTATTACGGATAGGCCTGTAAAGGTCTGTAAGCGTAATCGCGAAGCAGATCTAACGCGAGCGTGTGCGCGTGTGCGCGTGTGAACGAGCAGACGTCGCGGACGCGTGTGACACACGTATGCCGTGTACGTACACGTAGAAACGAAACGACCGACTTGTGAGAGAGTGTCACATTCAGCCCGTCTCCGTCAATGAAATAGTTAGATCTGTCAGTGCCAACTATCGCCTCGCTCTCGACGGACCTTTTTAGATTTTATCTATCGCGTTGTCCGATTCGCTCCGTTTTACTCAAATGCACCGCGAGTAGAGCGTAAGAAGAAAGGGAGAGAGTGCCGCGAGATCACGCGTTCTTTTCTACCTGTTCGCATAAAGACAAAAATCTGTCGTATCCACGCGGATCCTATATGTAGTACATCTATCTGTCTTCTACGTTTACTAAAAAGAGAATTGCGAAGAGAAATAATTGAAAGATGATCGGCTCTCGTAAAGAAGTTTCGACGCGCGCGTACCACGAGTACAGCTGATCGAATTTTCCACTGCAACATAGTCAGTATTAGCCCCCCGATGAATGCGCCCATATTTCCCTGCTGTTTATCGTCGCACGTAAGTATAATCGGGGCGGAGGTACTCCCAAGGATAACGTAGGGACGGAACTCTTGGCCTTCCACGGTGAACGAAAGGGATATGATCGCTCGCGGGTCACGGGGACCAAGTATCAAAACGTATGTTAAGTTATTGCTTCTCATGGTCGAACTTAAACACGTGGAGTAATTTATCAATTTGTGAATATATGTTACGGAAGTGGTTCGTACTCACTCGCGCGCCGCTAACGTTAAATGACAATGTTTGCAAATGCCGATGCACGAGATTCCCGATATGTAACGCGGTCTGCATGTTTCTCGCAGCTTCGACGGAACTTCCTCGTCGAGCAGTCGAGCTCGCGGGCGAACTCGTGAAAAACTACGCGAACATTAAAACGTGGGAAACGTACGAGGCCGAGTGGTCGAGCGAATTCGTGAACCGTAACAGATCTTGCGTAATCGATCTTTTGAGGAAAGAACGAGACGATGATATGCACTGGCGGCGCGGTGGAGATCTAAACGACGCGAGATCTCGTATATTTGAACAAAAGATACACGAGGAGTAAATTTGCGCAACGTTCTAAGATAATGCGTGGGAGTTGAAACGTGAAATCAATCGCTGGCCAACTATATTTTCCTCCGTGTTTTCCCCGCGGTGGCGGCAGCCGAGCGATAAGCATAATCAGATGTTCAACTCGATCACATGACCGATCGCCGAAGGATCTATCAAGCGATCGAATCTGACCGAGGCGCGATACAGTTAGATCCGCAGTTTCATCGAAGCTTCGATCAGCAAAAATAAACGAATCTATGTCGTATCTCGCCATACTTTAGCTGCTTCGATCTCAGTCGCAATCAGATCAAACGAATCGAAAAGAAGATACGAGGGGGGACGGGGCGGACAGAAAGTGCGGACAGGTAGGCAGGCGAAAGACGAGAAAGCAAGAGAGCACGTATGCCGGACGGTTGATATAGACGGTGGACGACGCAGGCGGGCAAAGAATCGCGGTTTACTTTGGCTAACGATCGATAATTTCGCGCTTGCTCGGTTTACCATGGGCTCCCGGTAAACGTTCTGTACGAGTTTTAAGGAGACGAACGCGATGCATGCGAGAGATCAGTCGCGATGTAACCATAGCGTGAAACGGCCTCGCACCAGGCCACCAGCCTTAAACCACCAAATGCGTGACGACGGTTGATTTGATTTTTGTTGCCAGAAGAACCGACGCGATCTCGAGAACGTTCAAATCCGGCATCCTCGAGTCTATGTATCTGGACGAGATTCGTCGCACCGTCGAGGATCACTTCACGGAGGCACAGGTACGATTCTTCATTGTATAAACGTAGCCTCTTCTACTTTCCTCCAAATGCGTACAGATACGTACGTGTCTTTTACGTAAACAGCAGGGACTCGAATCGCGTAATATAATATAATACTGTCTCTCCCTTCTTTTTCAACGGGAACCAACGTTCGGCACGCGTTGAGACTAACTTCAATCTTCCTTTATCAACGTCCGTTTTGAAGGCAACGACGACGCTAAAATCGTTTTAAGGAAATTGTTGCGAAGGTATTACCTGGGATCGACGATGCTAATGACAATCATTTCTGTAAACAGCACGCGTGTCCGCGAGGTCGAAAGACGTTCTCAAAAATGCCTAACGCAGTAGTGGGACGTGGGACAATTAATGAAAATGAACGAAGAACGGAGAGCGAAGATCCGGCATAGCGAGTGACGAACGGTATGACGTACGCGAGAAAAATTTGGTATTAAAAATTTTGCACGGTCCGCGATATTGAAAGCCAGAAGCGATTCAATTTTCAACGTGACTTACGCGGAGTGGTTGCGAGCGAATCGGACTAGAGATATCGTCCCCCGCTGGTTACGTAATTCGATTCTTGTCCTGAAATACAACGGCAACGTGCGAACATTTAGACAAGCGTTATCATTCTGAAAGAAGAATGGCTATATATCCCTGGCAGCGAGTCGCACGGGGTCGTCAGTAGAAGATGATAGAGGATCAGGCGCATCAACATCCGGTACGACTACCACCCGACAAGCACGCTTGCGTCGATGTCACTGCACCAGCCAAATTTGAAAAGTACGTCCACTTTCGATTATTAGACGATCAGTTTCACCCGGAATCCACGCACATCTAACGAGGAGAACACGTTTTTTAGTGTTCGATTCGAAACGAGACTAGATAACGATGCAATGACTAAACGGAGTGAAAAAATAGGATTTGTATACGAATTCGTCGGTTAACAGTGATCAATGCAAGGAACCTTTGCTTTCGGAGAAGCAAACATCCCACAGGATAACACCGGCCGACGGTCGACCGCGGACACGCGGTAACTCGGAGTCGGCCGTCGGGAACGCGGCGATGGGCACGAGTTCGGCTACTACGAACACGAACGCATGGATGGAAACCGTTGTCACCAACGCTACCATCGTCGCGTGCGTCTCCGGCGACGATAAATCAGCGGAAGAGGACAACGCGCAAGTGCCCATCTTCGACGAGGGAACTACCGACAGCGGCCGTCTTCCCGATGTCGTGGCCGAGAGCAAAATTTACGGAGGTGCCGAGGCCGAACCCCTCGAGTCCTACTTGGCCATTACTATTCAAGTTTTTATACCGTTTCTTATCGCCGGCCTTGGTATGGTGGGAGCTGGATTGGTGCTAGACTTGGTTCAAGTACGTCCTTCCTTACATCGTTTCGTACTTCGATTTTTTACGCGACGGTTCGCCGTGTTATTGCAGCATTGGGTGGTGTTCGAGAAAGTGACCGAATTGATCATCCTGGTACCGGCGCTGTTAGGTTTGAAAGGAAACTTGGAGATGACCCTAGCATCTCGTCTCTCGACTCAAGCGAACCTCGGGCACATGGACACGCCGAAGGAGCAATGGCAGATGATCGTAGGAAATCTCGTTTTGATTCAAGTAAGTTATCTTCCGATCGGCGAACGATGTCTCGGTATCGAACGCGTCCCTGTTCATTTTTCTATCCGCTCATCTCATACGCGGTTCTACTTGTTACTGCTAAATCGGTTTCCATCCCCCGAGCTTCACAAATTTTCGCGAATTATTACGTTACGATAAGTCAGACGATCGCAAGACGCGAAGCTACTACGCAACTGACGTCTTATCATTGGCGCCAAGATCTTATTTGATCACGCGTCAATGATAAACGACCTTCAGTGAGAAACGTCGCGGTACTCCATGCAAAATTACTTACGATTCTTAATCATTAATCACCTCGATTTAACGGAAATAGGTACTATAAATAGATTCGAATTCCTGTTCCATTATCCACTTCGTAGCTCAATTTTTTCATTATTTGAAGAAGAGTAAAGAAAATTAGATCGTGTCGGCAGTGCCAGGCGATCGTGGTCGGGTTCCTGGGCTCTGTGGTGGCGATCGGGATGGGCGTATTTCGGAACGGCTTCTCTATCTCGTTGGATCACGCGTACCTGCTGTGCGCCAGCAGCCTCGTCACCGCGTCTCTCGCTTCGTTCGTCCTCGGCCTGATCACCGCCGGCGTGATCGTGTTCTCCCGTCATTGTCATATAAATCCGGACAACGTCGCGACACCGATCGCCGCCAGCCTCGGTGACATCACGTCGCTGGCTCTGCTCTCTTGGATTTCGACGATACTTCACGAATCGATAAACAACAAGCAAGACTGGCTCGCTCCACTCGTCATCGCTTGCTATGTCCTCGTCACACCGCTCTGGGTTTGGATCGCCAAGAGGAACAAGTATACGAACGACGTTCTCTACTCTGGATGGACTCCCGTGATGATCGCCATGCTCATCAGCAGGTGAATATCGATATATGCTAAGTTCGCTCTCATGGAACAAGTGGAGATATATAATTGTCGACGATACAGTTGCGGTGGTCTGATACTGGAATTCATGGTGTCGCGATTCGAGAATCTGACCGTCTTTCAACCGGTGATCAACGGCGTCGGGGGAAACTTGGTAGCTGTACAAGCTAGCAGAATATCGACGGCTCTTCACAAGCAAGCTGAGCTGGGAACCCTACTGATACCACCAGGCCACACGCATCCAGTTATATTCATAACACCCATTGCAAACTTTTTTGGGAAAGGTAATTAAATCTACTAGACCGCGGATTATTGCATTTGATTGTTAAAGTGAAACATTTCCGATAGAACGTTTCCTTAATGTCTGATCACGACAGCTCACCCCCGGCTCGCATCGACCGTAATGCTACTTATTTCACCTTCAGGTATACACGCAAGGACGACGAGAGTTCTGATGGCGATGGTGATACCGGGGCACATCATCTTCATTTATCTGATCAACTACATGAAAGATGGGAACGCGTCGCTTACACCCCTATTCGTTTTCGTCTACTTGTGTGCTGCAACGTTACAAGTCGCGGCTCTGCTCTACATTGCTTACATAATGATTCACTGGATGTGGAAGAGGAAAATCGATCCCGACAATTCGGCGATCCCCTATCTAACAGCGATGGGAGATTTATTGGGCATCAGTTTACTCGCGATTGCCTTTCAATTCTTATATCTCGTCGGTGATCAAGATTCTGATGAAGCAATCGTCCCTTGAGATCGCGAAGGATGCTCGATCAATTCCTAAGTATTTCTAATGATTTGTAGCCGTCGCGTGATAAGCACGAGGAAAGTCGACGGTTGAACTGTTAGTACAGCACATAAGGAGATTAAGTTCTACGCAAATAACGAAGCAATACGCACGCAACCGAGACTAATTGTCGACAAGGCTGTGCTTCACGAAAGTATATCCCGGTTTTTCCTTTAGTTTATTACTTTTTCTCTATCTGCCCTGATCATTAAATAGAACGAGATGGATCTTTAAGAAGTGGGCACATACGATCGTTTATGACTTACGGGATTAACTTGCGACTGTCTTCGCTTTAACGAACTTTGTTTCCTACTTGTTTTATCATCAAGAGAGAGAAGTGCGTGCAGCCGTTCCCGACGGCCGCGTCAAGTGTATGTGTCTTCGACTAGTTGCCTTCGTACACGATGAATTAGATGATTTCAAATAATAATAACGTTCACGCAAAGTATTTTTGAAAGCTTTGAAGATACTCGCGCGCGATTCTCCTCGCAGTACCCACAATAACGTAATTTTAATCAACGTTAGAGATTGCATCGCGTTGCAATAGTTTTATATGCAAGTGTATATACATAGCTGCTACGAAACGCGAGTCTTCCACACCGAAGCTGATCGATTATAAGAAACGCGCACGCAAAACACAAAAGAAAATCAGAATATTACTCACTGCAGAAATAAGTGTCCTCTTTTTCGTACGTAGATGACGATGCAAATGTACTTCATTTTCTCCAAATGCGCATCCGAGACAGCTCCGGCGGTAGAAGAAAGTTGACAGGACATCCGGGCACACAGTCGGTAGAGATGAAGGCCGTAAACTGTATCTTGACAATAATATTAGTTCGAGCGGACGCACTATTTTCTATCCGACGCGAACGAAAATAATATTCTTTCGAGCCAACGCACTATTTTCTATCCGACGGGAACGAACCCAGATCGTTTGCATACGGACTCTGATCTCTCGCTCTAGGAAATCGAACGCATATTCTTTGCGGTTGTATAGATAGATAGTTTTGGAAAACGAGCGTGCCAAGGAAATGAATATTAATTAAGAAGCATGGAGCTTCGATGTTGCTCTGTGAAAGGCTAGAGAGGCGATGAGCTTGAGAAACGATTGATATTGTTCCGAATTCGGTGCTAATAGAAGCTAGGTCAAGTTTATAACGACGAAATGCGAGCTCCTGTCCTATTATGTAATTACAGATGCAACGATAAGAAAAGAGTACGCTTCAACGCGTCATGGAATGTACCTGTTCTACGTCGAAGTTTTGGAACGAGTCAAACGAAAGGATCGTTAATCACTTTCAGATAATATAACAAAAATTCAGACGCCGCATCGATAAAAATTGAGTCAACGCACATTGCAATGAAATATCGATGTAGTTTTATATAATAAAATGCCACGAAAATTAAAGCAATCGTATCTTTTACTTACGTTCACGTATCCGATGGCTCGCGAATATGCATACTTACTGTGTGCAGCATCGTAGAAAATCAAATCAAGCACATACATTCGGACAATACCGGCAAAAGTACCGAGTATTATACCTCACACTTAGAAATTTCACGCTTAAATACTATCAAGGGACGCGGTAGCGTCCCGAAGGCAAGTTTGAGTAAATATATACTTAGAAATATTGCAGGGGCAACAATTCGACGGATCCGACGCCTTCCCCGGTCAACGTATTTCGCTCCCAATCTTGTCGTTCGTCGTGTATTAACTCGATCAGAATCCGTATGCCGCACAACGACCGTTTTTTATGCTGCTCCTTGTACCTGTTGACACGAGCGAGAACTGTTTAAAAACTAAAAACCGTTGCCACAGTACAACACTTTGGACTTTCAAACGATCACAACGCCCAGTGCCTAACTTCACTACGTTAAACGAGCGCCAAGCGCGGTGGCGGCCATCTTCTGCTCGGTTCCCCCACTTTTCGTTGCTAAGCAACCGCCACGGCAGCCATCATATAGTATGTTACGATCATGCCATTAGTGTCCCGTGTCCCGCCATCTTGCAGGCCATGGTAAGTTCTTCCGGCTCTCTTCTACATATGAACGTAATGTAGATTCCTACTAAGTATATTGTCAAGCCTTTCGAAAATTGGTATGGTTATTTCGATTAAGAAACGCCGAAATCCCGATTGTGTTCATTCTCGTTCGTTCCGCGTTGATATCTCGTCGTTGGTTTGATTTAATACATTTTGTATGCCGATAAACCGTTCTGCTTTATCGATGCGAAGCACGGAAAGCTGGTTTAGAACGTTCACGCATACGCTGCCAGGTTATTGGCCTGGCCGCGGTGGGAAAACAGAATCTCTTGCTCATTCACTCGCTAACCGCCGAGCGAGCGTTCGTGTGTTTCTCCTTTCGAACGTTCGCCGCGTACATCGTATTCCTTTTGCTCGTCGGACGGAATTACATCGTGCACGAATAAAGAAGCTAGACGCGTCGCGACGACCGATACTCGATCCTAAAGTGTTCTCATATTCGTTTCTGTGTTTTATCTGTGTTACATCGAATCGTGTGCTCGAATTTTTAACAGTTTGAACGAGAAGTGGAGTTTTTGGACTCTCGAGGCCTGGCTTGCATTTTGGAGGCGACCTGGACGGCATCGAGGACGATCGCAGCAGCATTTTCAGTTTTGTTTCCAAGGTATGCATCCGACAGATCCATTACTCATTTATTTCGTTATAACCAAGCGAAGCATGTAATTTCACTTCCACGTGATGATCGATCTGTTGCCACTTGTTGGCTGCAGAGCATCTGGACATATGTACATCCAGGAATATCGTTATCAAGGTAATTACGGAAGAACAAGGAGATTTAACACGCTCTCTAGCAAACGTTAAGAGACGTTTTACATTTCCATATTATCGTTCTACTCCAGCATCTTTTCGGAGCATCTACTAACGCAGTTGCACAGATTGAAATGTTTTCTCATGTCTATATCTCATTCCGTCTCTCAGTGTTTCGAGCACACGGTGTTCGAACCGGAGTCGGACAAAATGTCTTGGCCACTTGTGGAGTCTCTGATTAACTAAAACGATATTCCAACGACATGAATATCGAACATAAAGAGGAATTAACATTGATTCATCTCGAAATGTTTCGCATTTATTCGCTGATTACAAGACGCGATTACAATCTTATGAATATAATTAACCAACTCTATATAACGTAGTACACGTACTTAGCAGTACAGGTTTTCTATCGTGTTACACTGAATCTCGGCTTACGACGATTACGACGAAATCCGTGATTTGAAAGTAAATATGCAGATATCATTTAACAGGGAACTCACTTCGTTCTTTGCCAAATATTCTTGCTCAAAGTAAGCTGTAAAGTTCCATTGTTTCGTCAGGTTCTATAACGTTTATGGTTTCCCTTGCTCGTGCAACGCCAGCTCGTTATGCGTCCACATTGTTGTTGCGTTATTGGTACCTGGTTATTGCGAAGTGCGTCGGAGTAAGTGAGAAAGTCTCGTGTACAATGAGGATCATTATCGGTAACACTTCTTTGGCGTAATACGACGTATGTATTCTTTTTTCGACTTTTGTAATACGTGTATGGACTGTTGACGACGGCAAAACGCCATAGATTTCTGTCGTTGGCAAATCGAATAAGATCGTATTTTTTTCGAAAACATATCGAGGGTCGTTTCTGTTATATATGTTCGGTTTTGTATACCAAAATAAAATCTTGACGCGAAATAAATTTAGCCGTATCGAAGTGAAAGGTGAAAAGCTGTTTGATCAGTGTAGCCTGAGTGTGGTTAAAGATCGCAGAATCATCTCTTTGAACACGGTCAATCGGTGGTCGAAAATCCATCGGGAGATGGAGGAATCTCTCTCTGAAAATAGATGAACGCCGATAGCCGTAGCTCCTTTGAATCCCATTAGCGGTTTAATAACTCGATGACGTCGTACGAAACGAAAAAAGCGAGCCAGCTTCCTCCTTCGATATTGGTTTCCTTTTGGCTGTCTCGTTATCCCAGTAATCTCGAGCAAAGCTGTTATTTCGCCGGATTCCTTTGTTGCGGGAATACAAAGTTCAGCGTTTTCCCTTCTACGACTGGAACTCAGAAGAAGCTCAGCTTGGAGAATGAACTGCCGACGGGAAAGAGATTGGGAGACGAGGCCTGGAAAAGAGGCTCTATTCTGTTGGAACCGAGTGCCAAGGAATACGTTTAGAATCGATCGGCATTCATTTTCTCTCCGGAATTCTTAGAGGAAATAATTGTCCGCCAGTTTTTCTTCCAGGTATACCACAGCTTTTCCGACGGATTCCATTCACCCTGTTGCGTTTCCTCGAGACTCGACCGGTTTACAGGTATATCTACCTGTAAAATCCACCGCCCACGTTAAAAGCCAGGATTTATCTCTGGCACTCGTTCGTAACGTCCGTTCTCTGTCCCAATGGGATTTCTTAAGCGTCCAGACAGCGTTAGTCGACTCTTCCAGCTCTCGCTACTAAAAATATTTCGCTCGTCATTCGGGATGAGATGCACGTTCGACGATGCCTCATCCTTTCGATTCGTCTTGATTTCTCCGCGACGCGCGGTCGCTAGTATTGAAAAACAAGATAGCAACGAGCGTACATTGACTAGTCATAACCATAACTAAACTGCAATTAACATGCGGTGTAATCGAGCGTCGTTAAACCGTCGCTCGCGCGTTACAGAGTCGACTCGCAATTTCGACGACGCTCGTTTGGATCTTTGTTTACTTCATTTCATTTCATTAGGAAGCCTCGTGCGTTTGAATCCCCAATTATGAGAAATCCCTATTGAATGCCCGTGTAGGAAAATTAAAGATCTACCGGAACAACGTTATCGTTTTAATCGGACGCGCTTCCTCCTCGAATAAATTTAGCCAGCGGATCAAACGATGCTCCCGTCCCCAGTTAAACAGAAAATTAGATTCCCATCTCGTTCGGCGTTGCGTTCCGACAATGAAGTTGCACAATTGTTCCCGTCGGAACGCGTTAGCGTTAGCGCCGTCGTTCCCCTTTTCCCTGGCTTTTTCCTAGCCCGAGATTATTACGCGTTAACACGCAGGAAACTGCTGTTGCCGAATCTTTACCGAGTCACGCTACAAGAAAATTTCCTTTCGTTTCGCGACCACAAATCCGTTTCGTTTCACTTCACGCCAAAAAGTATTTAGTCAATTATAATACACGCACTAGTACGTAATAAAATAGCCATACAAAGTTTATTCTAAACTGATCTTTGAGAAGAGTTCGTGTTCAATATTTGACATGATTGCATCGTTAGAAAACCTATGTCAAAGGTATCGTATAAATTTGGAGTTTACCAATTATTTTACTCCGCGCAAATGCCACGCTTTTCGCAATCAGCGAAGGGTAAATCAACCGATATTGGAGCCGTTCTGCGTATACATACACGCGTACAAAGCCATGCGGTTAAACTCGTCCGTTTGTTTACCGTTCGCGCTCTGCGATCGAGCTTGTTTTTTCAAATCGCAAATGAGTTTCCATCGCCGAAATCATTCTAACATATTTGAAAATTGATTGAGCGCGTCGTCGTACAAGTACGTTCCATCGCAGAACGAAATGAATTTTTTTTGTTCAGTCCTCTCTCCTTCCGGCAAGCGTGTATATGCTGTATACATATTACGTGTCATGGTATAGAGAACGCGTGCGGTTTATTGCGTTAGACAGGAAACCGAGAGAAGAGTATGTGTACGTACGGAGTTATAGTCGACCTGGTTTAGACGCGCCTGTAGGGCGCCTCGGACCAACAGAAAGAGAGTGAAAGAAACCGTTTACCGATTCGAAATGTCACGGACCAGACCGATGAGAATGCATACAAATCGAATGAAATCGATTAAAGAATCCGGCAGAGCTTGTCAGCTGATTTGCCTTTGATCTTTCGTCGAAATCTTCTATGTATTCGAGTGCGCAACAAATGCGATTAGACTTCCAAACTTTCAACCGTGACACGAATCGATCGCGCGCCAGGCGAACAGGTTTATCGCTATACGTTCAAATATTTGCATTACACGTGCTCGTCTCCGGTATGTCGAGGTAGGAGAGACGATGACGATCGTAGAGTCTGGCGTTGCACGCACGACTCAGAAATTAAATCGCGTACAGCTTCTCGGGGACTTTAGAAGCAGGCGCAAAACGCTATGGAATGTCGGTAATGATCGCGGAACGCGTGTAGGTGTTTGTCGCCAGGTTGCTAGGCGAGGGCTAAACGTTTTCGCGAGAGAGCCTTTTGTTCCGTTCAAACTGAAAAGCCTTATGATAATCTTGAATTTAAAAAGTGAAGAACGGTCTAAAATAGACGTAGAGACGTAGATAGGAACATGAAAGAACGATGAATCCAAAGTACGAAGCAGCGAAACAAAAAGGATCGCCACCTTAAATGAAGTATGGTCACCGTGACCATAG